CTTAGTGGCTTTTTGCTTTTGACTGTGGTTTCTGGCCACCTTCGTGTCACTTCGCTGGCCACGTCCCAAAACGTCTCGTTGCCAGCATGGAAACATGGAAACATGGTGACTTAGTGGCTTGGTGGCTTGGATACAGCAGGGACTGTGGTTGGGACAGGAATTGGGATCGATGGGAGCACGACGAAGTCTTCGCCACGCACTCCGTGACTCTGAATCAATTGCAAATAATTTAAACAACTAAAAAAAAAAGCACAATTAACGTTGGAAATAAATATATTTTCATTTAAAGCCATAAAATTAAAGACCTGAGTTTTATTACCTATTTAAACAAAATTATGCTATTAACACATTTAAAAAAAATGTTTGGGTCATTATGAAGTTTAAGTTAATATTCCAAATTCCATATGCCATAAATAAATACATTTTTACTGCAAAAAAATAAAGTTGCTTGAATTTGATATAATTATCTTTCTTAAACGAATAAGAAAAGACTTTTAGCTTTAATTGTTAATGAGTTCTAGGCACTTTATTGATAAGCTCATATTTAACGAGTTTAATTTATCCAAAAATATTGAAATAGTTTTATTCTTTGTAAATAGTGTGTTTTTAGTGTATGTGAAATATTTATGTTGCTACAAATATCTTTGTATTTCTAACTTTTTATAGGTGCTCAGTGTATGATCACCCTGTATAGCTGGATGTTTTTTTCTTCGCAGAACATTCTATTGATCGCCAGCTCATCCGTTGTCACTCGGTGCGTGCCCACTGTACCGGTCACGTACACGCGTGTGGGTGCGATCGCGCCGCAGGGTGTTGCCTGTGCCTCATCCAATGCGTGACACAACAAGGAGAGGATCGGGACGAGGGCCTCAGAAACGGATGAGGAACCCATGATCATGGTGGCAGAGTGCGAAAATAATTGATGGATCGACGACGCTCCGAATGCCACAAATCGGAATTCGTTTTCAATCGAATTGCACTCAATTCACTTCAATTCAATGCGGTGCGATTCGGTGCGATTCAATGCAGTGCGTAGCAAACTGGAAACGGAAGTGGCAAGTCACGTTCAATGGCGAATGATCCGGATTCGGATTCGGATTCGGATTGGGACTTGGAACAGGAATAGGAATCGATATCTCGGTCGGGGACTTTGCGACAGGGATCTCAATCTCTCGATCGATGAGAGTCCGCCAGCCATTATTTGCAACTTGTCTTGCTTTTGTTGCCACTTTTGCTTTTGCTTTTGCTTTCCCCAACTCCAACTCCATTTTCACTCGAAACAAATTTACCTTAATTTGTCATATTATTATTAAAATATAATATATGTAAAAAAATAATACTTCTGTAGCATTGAATATTTATACATAATTATGGTGTTATTCGCACAATTATTAAAACTAATTTTTTTTTATGGTTAAAAAAGTAAATTTGTACATATTTATATATATTTATTTATTTGCCAAAAATGTTTACTGACTATAACTTATTAAATCTTTAAAATAAGCAGTAAAAGTTAGAAAATGTAGACAAATTTAGAGAAATTTGTAGTATCTTCTTTCGATTTGAAAATACAGGCTAATGTTTTTATTATTAATTTAATAAGTTATTTAATCGAATTGGATTAATTTCTAAGAGTAATGCCTTTCAGATTTGAACTGGTTGGGGGCAGGAAACTGAAGTCACCGCGTTTTTGTCTCAGTGCATGTGGAACTCCTCCGAGTAGACTAGTACTATACAAGATTACTGACATGCCAACATGCTGTTGTTCTGCTTCCAGTTGCTGTTCCTTTGTTGCCGCAGTTGCTCCTTTTTTTCACTGCATTTGTTGCTGCTGCTGCTGCTGCTATGCGAAATTGCATAGTGAGTGAGCAGCAAAGCGGTTTGACTAGCTCCGGCTATCAACTTGTTGCATCTGAGTGCACAAAACACCAAGCCACGCCACGCCACGCCAAGCCACCCATCCACCGATCCACCGATCCACCGAACCACCGAACCACCGATCCGATCCAGCGATCCAGCGATCCCTCTGGGTTGCCAAGCACGTTGTTGGCTATTAGAAAGGCATGTGAAATGTTCCCTAATTGTTGGAATTTTAATACATCCAACAACATGCACTCCACTTTGTATGTGCCTGCCTGCTGCCTGCTGCCTGCCTGCCTGCCAGTCTGTCTGACTCAACAAAAAAGGGGTTCCAGTTTCAAGTGGGTCCAAGTGACTGAAACTGGCATTGGCACTGGCACTGCGACTCAAAAACCCGCCGATCATGTCGCTGGGCCCACTGTTTAGCGATTAACTGGGCCTTAACCACATCCACATCCACATCCACATCCACTTCCGACGGTAATCGACCCTAAGTACTCTATTAGCGAATGCCCCGCTAATTGACACTCGAACCGAAGAACTCCCACAAAACGCGGCTATGTGCACTGTGTATTGTAATCAGCACCGAAATTATACAGGATTTAACAAGAGTCGGGCAAATAAGACAAATCAAGAACAAACAGACTCGAAAATGTGTTAAGACTTTGATGGTCAGCCATAAACAAGATAAACAACAAGTCCCGTCCCGATAACTGAAATTGTTTTGAAATTTTCTCAAGGAAATGGAGCCGCACATTGGAGCCGAAAAAAAAATGAAGGCAGAAAAAGTATAAAGACAACGTGGAGCGAGGTCAGAATTGCAACACGAATCAGATAAAGTTGTTGTTGGCACTATCAGCTGTAATGAGGATGATTACGATGATCGCCAGAGCGCAAGAGTGTGCCAGATAAAATTGCCAAAAGACCGGGTAGTTGGGGTAGCAGGGGTCTCGGATCGGAACCAGATGATAAGATCTACATATGTATACTCATACACCCCAAAACGAAGACGAAACCGTAGCGAAACGTATACTCTCATCTTGCGATCGGTGCATATCGAAACTGTTAGGTACTATTAAAAAAATGGTGTTCAAAAAAAATCATTAGGACCAATTATTTATATTATTTATTTAAAGTTAATTATGACATAAGCTACGATATTCATTTAACAATAATGTACAGCTATATTTTTAATAGTGTTAGCAATTATTATTATTATCAGCACACTGAGAACATTTTCATTAAACTCAAGGTTGTAGTGGATTATATTTTAAACACACATTTATAATGAAAAACCCACATATAACACATACAAAAAAGCCAAACTGGGCTTTATTTTAATTTATGGTAATGATTTAATTAATTCATCAATCAGTTGCGTTTGTTATTTATTTTGGCTTGTCTCCATTAATAAAAATAATCGTTATTCAAACGAATGTTGTTGGCAATAATAAAACCATGTCATTGCACTGAGTTGAGGGTGTGTGTTTTGTATTCAACGATAAGATAAGATGTATAGAACCAGTTATTGAGGGAAATAATTTATTGAATAACTATTATTTATAGAATAATTTATGTATTATAGTGTATTTAAATATATACTATATATATTCCTGAAAGGGGATATTCCTCAAAATATAAGCATAATAAAAATTGTTATAATGATGCATCATAAATCGCACCGATTGCCCTCGGCAGTGGATTATGGCAATGGGAATGGGAATGGGAATGGGAACTCTGATCCTGGCCAGATCCTCGAAGGCGGGTGGATGTGGATCCAAATCTGATGCTGAATCTGAATTTACGGGGAGACCTACCTGAACGCAGACTGTGATAATTTAGTATTTCTGCACACTCCACACTCCGTCGCAGACTTTTGCCAGCCACTGTCAATTCAGTGTAAATTTCAACTATTAAATGCCAATTTATGGGGCATAGCTTATAATATTTTATTATCGCCTTTATCACACCTTCCGCCAGAAGGGGGCGTGACATTTAGCAGGGCTTAGCCCGGTTCCCCAGCTTCCATCGTCCATGGTCCATGGTCCATGGTCCATGGCTCAGTTCCCCTGGATCACCTCCTCCTCGAAGCCAGAGGCCCTTTCCAAAACCAAAACCAAACCGAACCTAACTGAACCGAACCGAACCGATCCATGGCGTGGCGTGGCGTGAGAAGAGATTGAAAGAAGGAATTCGCAGATAAATCACACTAAATCATTTCACTCGGCCGCCAGTTGCAGTGCACGGCGCATGCGCGCATGCTGCAATGCCTCGAATCGACCGACGACCGCCGACCGCTGACCGTCGACCATCCACAATCCACAATCGACCATCGTTCAGAGTCGAGAGTCGAGAGACCAGAGAGCTGAATACATCGGACAGACAGTCAGTCAGACACCAGTAACAAAGGGCACTGCAAAAGCTGCAAAATACAAAATACAACGAAATAAATGTCAGCCATGGCGATTCAACCCTTCAATACCCTGTATAGTCAAATGCACAAAACAAATTCTAAATTGGGTACCCTATCCAACTCAACTAAAATTTTAAGGTTTACAAAATATTATTGAAAGTCCAATGGATTAATTCCGAGATTGATTGATTTTGTGGCTTCCCCCGAATGTCTGTATTTATGATTGAAGTGGCCTTCCTCCAAATGGTTATGGTTTAATTTGTAAAAATATTCTGCGATTTAATTCTGACTAGAAATGTTGTGCTGATATTTTGTGATTTGTGAAAAATGGCATGGCAGAAAAATTACCTAAAACCTGCACATCTTAGCTCATAACTTTTCTTACAGACATCCGATTTCGAAATGGTTAATCTGTAAAACTTTTTGTTTATTTCTCTAAAAATCTGCATTTAAACTTTGCTTCGAAATTTTGGATCAATTTTTGTTATTTTTATAATGTAAGCCCTCTCTAAATTTTCGAAAAATCGCTTTGCAGAAATGTAACCTGAAGGCAGCACTTCTAAGACCATAACATTTCTTAAAAATAACCGATTTTGAAAATATTTGCCGCCAAAAGTTAGTGCTTTAAATCTGAGTTGATATTTTTGTATTTATATGATGCAACCTCTTTCCAAATTTTCGATAAAGGGACCTTAGATCTAGACTTCTAAGCGGTAATTCTCAAAAAATCTGAGTTTAAATCTTGGTGTGTATCACTTTAGCATCCCAAAAAAGAAATTCTTTTGATTTTTGAGTGACATAGTGTCCCAGAATCCAGACACTACCCAGTGATCGGGCAGCAAGCGGTACCCAAAACTGCAGCTACAACAACGAATAAAGGTAAAGTTCTCTGCCATCGGCGGATTGCGCATTTCGAACGCCGGCGCGTACTAATCACTCGCATTGTTACACGATCACGCCATGGCATCACGTAGCCAAGGTGAAAGAAGGCCACGCCAGGGGCGTAGCGGGCGGGGGGCGTGGCTGGGGCGGGAGACAAATAGGCAGCAAATGTAACTGCACTCCGCGGATGGGAAACGTCCATCCATCGACTCTCAACGGCAATAAAGCTTCAATAATTTTGAAAATTCAAAACGATAGATGTAAATTAGTGGAAAATAGTTGGAAAGTTAACAATTTTGTGGGGATAATAACATCAGAAGCAGAAAAAGAAAGTGTTGTGATTTTATTAAGGGATCTCAACTACATTAATGGCAGGTTTATATAAATATAGATAAGATACCTTAGCATTTAAATTGCCTTTCTGTTTAGAATTCAACAAGATCGTTTGTGTTTAAAGCGTTAATTATGCTGCATTTGTTTTTAATACAAGTTTCTTAGAAAGATTTGATTTATTTCAAGAATATTTCCCCTATCGATTGGATTATAAATTTGCCTTTATCGAATCATTTGGCCACATAGGCTCAAGCTTTTCCCATTGTTCTGGGGCTTGTTTACCGAGTTTAAGATTTCGGGGGCCAAAAGACCAAAGACGAAAGACAAAAGACAAAAGGCCGCCAAGGCCAACAGTCGGCCGTGAACCAATTCGTTGGACCATTGATAGATACATTTGTATTTGTATCTTGGCTGCTGTTTACGTTGTGTGAGGTCGTCGGGTTTAACAGTTGAAGGTCGACGGCGGCGGAGGCGTTTTAAAACGCTGGGAAAACGCGCACGGTGGGTCGAACCGAAGGGGGGATAAGTACATTAGCCGATTTATATCCGGCAAGCAATAAAAAGAACAGCGCGACAACCGCAACAACAACAACAACGACTTGCTAAAGAGCTAATGACTTGGATAATGATTTCGATTTCGTTTTCAATTTCGTTTGTTTGGCTGGTCGCTGTTATTTGCCTTTTCAATATTTCAGTTTTCAATTTTTTTATTTTTATTTTCGTTTTTTTTTTTTAAATTTATTTTTGCTGTTTCTGTGGGATTCGTGCGTCAATAATTAGATCATCCCGCGTTGGTTGTTGTAGACGATTAGCGAAATCAAAAGGCATCAGCCCACAAAGAAAGCGGAACGACAAACACAAACATGTAGACTATATGGGAAATTTCATTTCATTTCAATTTCAGTTTGGTTTTCCTTTCAGTGCCCATTTTTTTGCACCCATTATCCATTAGGGCACACCATGGGTGTCATGGAATTGCCGTCTCTCAAGGGGTTTGCCGTTGATTTGATTCTTTTAATTTTCATTTAGTAAATCACCCACATCATTTTATAATAGATAGGACATTAATGTACAGAATTATAAATTAAACTTGTTGTTTACTTTTGTTATAATAGTAAGTCAAACATGTCCTCTTTATTTTTATGAACCATATCGGATTTAATGTCTCACAGAATTCTCACTCCATTCAAAATTACATATCACAATTTAAAATCGTACCATTAATAAGGGTTTCGTAATATAACTTTTTAATTTTTTGAGAGCATAACTATATGATTTAACATATATATATTTTTATGTTTAACTAACAACTTAACAAAACAAAGCTTCGAAAATCGTTAGACTTATAGAAATAAAAACTGAATTAAAAACATTTTTTTTGGATTTGGGATTGGCATATCAATCGATAATTCATTCCCGTAGTTTTCACAAATTCAGGAAGAGTGACAATTCAATTCCGTAAAAAAGTAGTCCCCTTTTCCCCACAGCCATGGATTATTCGGTGCGCGTAAAGTGTCGCAAGATGCTGGAATCCGCTCTGCAGATGGACGATTTTGACGATTTGGACGACTTGGCCGAAGGATGCGGCCATTTCAAGGACTTGGCCTTCCAGCTCGAGCAGGCCATCTACGACGAGCTGTATGACTTGGAGGTGAAGTACAAGAACCGCATCCGCTCGCGACTCTCCAACCTAAGGGACCCCAAGAATCCCGGGCTGCGCGACAAGTTCCTGCGCGGCATCATCTCCCCCAAGCAGCTGGCCAAGATGACGCCCGACGAGATGGCCAGCGACGAGCTGAAGCAGATGCGCCAGCAGTTCGTCCAGGACTCCATCCACAAGGCCCAGAAGGCCGAGATGGCCCAGGGCACCAAGACGGACCTCTTCAAGTGTTCGCGCTGCAAGAAGCGCAACTGCGTCCAGCTGCACACCCAGGATGGCGACGAGCCCATAATGACCTTTGTCATGTGCGAGGAGTGCGGCAATCGATGGAAGTCATAGGATGCCACAGGATTTCGTATAACTCGTATGAAGCGAAATCAATAAAAATTGACAGCTATAGTTGTCAAAAAGCAGAAAACTGTTTGATTTCCAATACTGCATTTAATTAACTAAATTGCTAGTACAAAGGAAAGACATTAAAACCTTTAAAAACTTATCGAAGCTGGAAACAAAAGATCTCCCTTTTAGTTTTTAAAACAAATGAACGTAAATATTTCAATTATCTAAGTTATATTTGAACATACACTGATAAAAAAATTAAATAGAAAAATATATAAATAAATTCAAAGTGAATAATATTTATATTGTATACTAAACATTTGTATTTACTACTTTTTTGCCATTGTACTTTGTCTTTGATCTTTTAATAACTTCCAAATATTATTCGCAATCAATAATGACACACAAAAAAAGAAAATAGTTGGTAACAGTTTAAAAATTCGTATTTAAACTTATTTAAAAATATTTAAATATTTTATTAGGTCTTAGAGGGTATCACCGGTTCGACCACCTGTCTACCAAGTATTTCTTCTTTGTTCGCCTTGGAAAGCAGTTAATGCTGAGAAGAAAGAAATTTCTGTTTTATAAACATTCATAAATATGTGCTTGTATAAAAAACGAGAAGCGAGAATTTAATGAAATTTTCGACTATTAGTTAGCTCTTTAGACTTTAATGAATCATGCGGTAGGATGATCTCGGAGTGGGTGAGATTCTGATGGGATTCGGAATGGGAATGGGAATGGGAATGGTAATGGGATATATAGAGCGTGGGTCGTTCCACAGTGCAGACAAATTATAGACGTTAAAGCATTTGGTTTATGACCACATTAATGGCATTGACTCGGATTGGATGGGACTGATAATTGAGTTGGGGATTCGGAATAAAATTGGAATTGGGATGACGATGCCGATGCCGAATGCCGAATGCCAAATGCCAATTGCGTTTAGGTGGGCTAACCAGAGATAGCCAAATTAATTAATATCCGCCGTCGTAAACGCAACGCAGAATGCAAAAGCGGATCAAGTAAATCGCATTAATTGGCCATTTGGCCGAAAAACCATTAAAAAGAGCTCAGAGCCCGAATAAACAAAGTGGAAATGCGCCTTTCCCAGGCTTCCTTCCTTTTGGTTTATTTTTTTTTTAATGCCCGTCTGGCGCCGATCAAATTTTCCCAAACAAAATCGCTTTTTTGTTGTTTCGGTTTCACTGCTTTTTTCGCATTTTATTTATTTTAATTATTTCTTTTTTTTTGTTATTTTGGTTTTTTGTCTGTCTGTCGTTTTTGGATTTTGTGTTTTAGTGTTCGAAATGTCGCTCAAAATTGACGACCCTGAAGGCGCCGGCGCCAGCGACAAGTGCGCCCACAAAGGTGGTGGAAAATGGAAAACGGAAAATGGAAAATGCGAAGGGGGGTGCTCTAGGGGGCCTTCAGATTGGCATGCAGACGCGCGGTGCTCTCAAGTGCCATATTCGATGTATACTGTTGGATTATATGGCCAAACGACGAAATGGATTTTGGCCTTAAGGCATTAGCAGGCCAACACAAATGGATGACTGCCATCGACATCGACATCGACATAGACATGGACATGAAAATTGAAATTGAAATGGACATGGACTTGGTATCGATCATAAAACGCGATGGCCGAAAAACCAGATCAGTTCAAAGAGATGCAAGAGGTCTATTAAATACGTTTTGCTCGACATCAAATCGATAATCTTGGGGATCAGTAAAATCACGTACAACTGCTGATCATAATAACTAATCTAATCTGCCAGGGATTAATTCATCTGGAAGAAATGCTGTTTTGGGAATATGTAAATCTATATTTCTTTAAATACATTTTGTTTTTAAAATATTTGTAGCTTATTTTAATAGGGGTTCAAATATAAAATATTTTAAGAGACTTAGCACTAAATTGTTGAAGACTTAAATTAATTTGAATTTTTAATTTACTGGTAATGATACAGTATCCTAAAAATACCAATGATTTTTTAAGGCTGTCATTCTTCTAAAACAAAAGTATAAAATACTGGCTTAGGTCTCATCTAACATTGGTTTAACCTTAGTAGACAGCTTTTTTCTGAAATTTGGGATTAAAAAAGGCAAATCAAAGTCAATCGGGGGTGTCATGCGATCGTAAAGTAAATCATTTCGCGACAAGCCATCATTGATTATTATACTTTTATTGCGGCCAGCCAGTTTCGGGTCGAGAATCGCCGCCTGATCCGCGGATGCCGAATTCGAGGGTTTAGAGGTTGCAACAGGTAGGATGACCGGATGGAAATTCCCACCATATACAGTACATACCCACCGAGGTGCGAAAACAGATGCAGCCTCATAAAAGGGGCGCAGATGAGGTCGCGGGTGCGTGGGAAAAGCCCAGGAAAAGTGCAGCCAACAGGACGAACCTGTGCGGTTGGCGCATCATTGCCGCCATATCTCACTATCTATAGTGTGCATGTGCCTGTACCTACAGGGATACAGGGATATACCTTGTGCAAGGACCAGAAAGGGATCATAAAACGGTGTCGCTTTTGTTTATGCTGCTTATTTAAATTGGCTTCTTGGCGGGCGTTGCAACCTGGCAGTTCGATCCCAATCCCAATCCCAATCCCGATCCCGATCCTCCAGTAAGGACTACCTGCCATTTGCCCTGAGAATTTCCGATCGTCCTAACCCATATGGCCACGGATGCGTGAGAATGCTCCCTTCGATTCTAGATCATCATGGGTCCACGTTCTCGTCCTCGTCCTCGTCCAAAACAATGCTTGTGTTTCGGTTTTGGGTTTTGCGATTTTTGGAAACTGCGGCCGGGTTTTTCCGGCCACATCGTGCGTCATCTGGTGGCACTTGCCCCTTGCATTTCGCACCAGGATTACGACAGCGACAGCACCTTCTTGGGAACTGCAGACTCGCAGAATCGGAGAATCGCAGAATCGGAATCACAATGCCGACCTCTCAACCTCTCAGTCTAACAGCCTCGCCATTGATCGCCATTGATCGCCATTGATTGATTCGCCCGCGTGTGCTTGCATACTTGATGAATTGTGCCGATGATTGGGAACTACACTCTGCCAATACCAAGAAAAACAGCAAATAAATAAGAGTGAACTTTAACATGTCGAGTCGGTATTAATTAGACTTATAATAAGTCAATTTGGTAACTAATTATTCGACTCCAACTTATTAATAAGTTCATTAGAAAAGTAAAAATATAAATAAATTAAATTAAACAAAATATAGTCTTTAAATTGATTTAAGTTTTTTTTTACATTTAAAGAAATAATCAAATCAAAGAAATATTCCAAATTTCTGTAGGAATTAAATTGCACTTTAAGAGTGAAATTTATATAATAGTTTCATTGGAAAAAATACGCTTTTTTAACTTATTTCGACTCAAGGCTTAAATAGTTCAAATAAATGCAATTGGTATCTAATATTAAAGAAGGGAAAAATAATTTGATAAGCTTGTGAATAGAAGATTTGATGCCATTTTATTTTTAAAGTGGACATTTTGTAAACCACTTAAATCTGTAAAATCGTTAATCTTTGCTGAAATATGAAGCCTTATAAGCATAAAAAAAAAACATAAGAATATGCTTCAATTTCTTTAAGTGCAGTGGCTTGCCAACGCTGCAATGGTTTTTTATAGTTTTGATTTTGATTTATTTGTGGTTCGATTGTCAATCGGACGGTGATGATGATTAATTGCGACGGTGAATGCCAATTGTCGCCATTGCCTCCGATCTCGGTCCAAGACCCCTCACCCCCCTCTATCCTCCCTCCATCGGTATCCATTTCGATTTCCATTTCGATCTCCAGCCATTGATTTGTGGGCGCGTGCTGGGTACTGGGTATTAGGTACTCCGATCCGTGAACAGGCCACACCCGCATTTGTATCAACAAATTAGCCGGCTAAAACATGTAAATCACGTGTGACCACGCCCCGGGATCCCGATGCCCCCGCCCCTCCAGTCAGACCAACAAATCACGCCGGGAATAGTTGGCATAGCTCTGAGGTCTCTGGAATGTGGACTACAATGTTGACCTGTGCAAATTGATCGCTCAGCCATCGATTATCGAGCATCGGGCTCTATAATATAGATTATCAACATTTCCTTTTCAATCTTTAGACTTGATTCACCAAATCCACAAATATTAAAGCATATGTATTATTATGTGTGAAATCATGTTCAAAACATATGATTCCAAGCCAACTTTAAATAAACTAAAACCACTTTTTTGTCATAAATATTTAGGTTAAGTTTAATTTAATTACACATACAAGTCATGATTAGATGTATTTTTTATCTACAAATTAATTTTCCAACAATCGTATTTTCTCTAAATGTTTGGGCTACCCAAAAAATATGTGTTAAGAGTTATCAATTAAAAGGAGCCACTGAAGCAATTTCAGCCTGTTAATTTAAGGAATCACAAGAAGAGACAATTCGATTACTTTAAATAAATGATGAAAAGAGCTAAGGTCAAGTCGGAAACCAATAGAGTATAGTAAATAACAGAGGAGCATTAGCCATTTGCCATCTATCCACCTTGCCGGAAGTCTTTCAGGCAGTGATCTCATCGAGAAACATCGGGAACGATCTGGGCATAACTCACTCAATCGGGGAATCGGCGAGGTATAGGGAAAATGCGGGATCTTCGTCATTTTCCTTGATTGACAAACGATCGGGGCGATTAATGTTCGAATGGGTATCGATAAATTTGCATTCAGCGGCGACCTTGGGTGGGTGGCTGTGGCCGTGGGTGGTGGGTGGTGGGTGATGGGTGGTGGAATGGCTATGTGCTTGCCGCACTTATGAAAATAAATTGCATAATCGTTGGCTGACAACTAGAAAATCGAACAGAAGAGCCATCAACTGCCTCCTCTTTCCATTTCACATTTTTTTGTATGCGTCAGTGGCGATGACGCCAATGGTGGATCGATGGATAGCCACAGCGGTGGATCGCTAGATCGATGGTTGGGTGGATCGGTGGATCGCTAGATCGGTGGTGGACATGGACACACCCACCCTTGGCCAATTACGCGAGTGCCACTGCC